GTGAATGGAGCAAAATTTTTCTTGTTTGGAAATGAGGAAATAAATGGAAATAAGTTTTAAGAGAAATTTAGCAAATTTGATTAGTTAACTTACATCACCTCCATATGAACAGATGTCTTTTGAAGTGTTTAAAAACGTGTAGTTCCGATGCGTTATCCTAATGGTTTATTACAAGTGGATGCTTATGGAAGCTTATATTTGGGTGCGTCTAAAACTTTTGAATTTTTAACTAAAAACAGTTATAAGTTAGTGCTCATAGGTATTTTACGCCATATTTGAAAATAGTTAAATACAGAAAAAGTGTAAATTGTGGCCCCAATAATAAATAAATTTATGAATAATCACGCAATTAAATGGATAAGCGATTCATATATATGGCGGTGTACTTTTATTATATATAAAAACTTACATATATACAAACATATACGCGTACACACCTTGTATGCGTATTCAAAATTACATAGCATAAGATATTAACAGTTACATAAATTGACATTTTAACTTAAAATTCAATTTCTCTTCTCTAGCCGATTTATTATCATTACTATCATATGCATTATTATTATATTAAATATTAGATAAAATCTACAAAAGAAAATGAAATAAAGAAAGAGTTTTTTTATTTTATAAGAGGTAGGTAGGTTTGGAGCGGTCTTTGACCCCAACTTCGGGGTCTCCCAATAACTTTCTTGGGCCAAAGGGAGACCGACAGGCAGATCGGGTGATGAAAGGCTCTAAGGTCAGAATCCCCGTTCGGTACGTTAGGGTTTCGTCTGTCCGCGTATTTGATAAAGAGCAAGTATGTGCATTGTCATTGCACGTGAACAAAAACATAGAACCCCTTCTCATATCTCACAAACCAGCTAGCCGAGCTCCATACGTGCCATCACGCATAACTCATACCTTTTCACTTCACGTGGCACTGTAAGGTTGTCTTCTACTTTCTGTAGATAACAGTCTTAGAGACAAGAGGATACATATGAATATAATGGGGCATAGTCGTTACAATGCTGTATGACGAAACTTAGGTTGTGGTTGTTCTTTCGACTCGTCTTGTGTCGGCTCCACATGTAGTTATATATGCTGTACCTTTGCAAATTTTTTGTACCGTGATTTCGATGAACATTTGCTAGCCATTTGCTTGTAAATCAAACAGTTAAAGTACAGCCGTGCTCGACGAATCATTTCTCCACGTTAGTTGGTGTTGGCCTGTAATACTTAAACACATTGATGCATATGATGTGATTCCTTGCAGGGTGATGAATCGTTCATGTATTAACGCTGTAAATTTATTGAAGATTGATGCCTCAGTTAGTGAACCGAGATATTTGTGCTATTCTATGCTCCTCTCAGTGTAGAGTTTCTGTTATATTATGAATGGCATGACTAACACTGGCAGGACTATGTCAAGGCTCTTAATATTTCTTAGATACTTGTTCGATGTGTCTCACGTCCGTTTATAGCTGCCGCGTTATTGGGGTTGCGAATTCCAATATTTCAGAAATTTTTCATGAAGACTGGTCCAATTTACCGCTCGTTATCGCACCTGCTATCTAGTAAATGCCATACAACATTGTGGAAGCTATTGGTCATGTTAAGATGTTTGATCAAGTTTTTAGCTTGTGCAGAAACTCACGATCATAGATATTGTACTTTTTGAAAACGCGGATTCCGGTATTGTTATTATCTCCAATTTGACGCCATCGTCATGGTCAATCTTTGCTGGAAGGGGTTTCTGTACCGATTGAGGTTGTAATGTGACGTCTTCCTGAAGTTCAGCGACGAACCCTTTGAAGGATACGTATGATTCTCCCACTAACCCTTTAATCTCGACGTGCTCCTCTATGCATCTTTGAAATAACTACGTATCCTTTTTATAAACAGTATATACCCTACAACACAGAAAGTTTGTTATCCTCGATATTGATTTGTGCAATCTTTTGGCTGAATTGAACATATGTGTATTATACATCTAGGATGAATATACGTATTTATACCGGCACTTTGCCTTTTTAGTAATAAAGAACACTTTCGCTTTTTTCTTCCGCTGTTTACGTTAAACAAGTGCATATTGACAGTATTATTGTTTTCTTGTGGTTAATTTTTTTTTTTTAAAGATTACTATATTTAATATTTTTTAAAGTAATTCCTAATTATTATTCTTAATTATTTTAAGTTAATTGTAATATTTAATATCTAATGAAGTTTACTTCGCTTACCAGCGCAAATTTTCCTTTAGTTGTGTTTCTTTTTATCTGGTCAAAATCCGCCTGAGTGGCGAAGTAGGCAAGAGTATCAACCAGCAACTCAGTAGCCGAAAGCCTTTAGATGCTAGTGCTTTAAGATTTTAGTCTTAGAATTTATTCTCTGGCTAAATTTATAATAATAATAATAAGATTTTAGTCCAAGCATGGCTAAATTAATAATAGTAATAATAATATCTTGACAAAGTTTCTTTGCCTTCTCTTTCAGTCGTACATCATTTGTTTTAGACAAAAATAGATGTCGCTTACAAATGAATTAAAAAAACCATCACTTAAGAAGTTAATTGTATGTTGCGGTGGTGTTGCAAACCACTTTATTAGCTGAACATACCCTACAGCATAGGAAGTTAATTGTATTGTTGCGGCGGTGTTGCAAACCATTTTCTTCGCGAGAGGATATCAACTATCATTTTGACATGTCTGCCTGTTCCAAATAGAATCTTTTCAACTTTCCATTGTTGAATAAGAAAATTTTAGAAATGATGAAAGATGAATGTAATGGAAATATAAGGAAGGAATTCATTGGTTTACGCGCTAAAAAAAATAAAAATAATAAATAAATAATAAAATCGATAAAAATGAAAAACAAACTAAAGATATTAAAGATGTAAAACAACCTGTTACAGCGACGCTGACCTTTAGAAAATATTTATTTTAAAACAAATTGTATTTTGATTTCATGTATGTTTTCCGATCAAAATTTTTGTTTGGCACGGGCATATTAATAGGATTATTGTTTTCTTGCGGTAAATTAATTTGTTTAAAAGATTACGCTATTCAATATTTTTTCTTAGAATAATTATTAGTTAATTTAAGTTAATTGGAATAAATTAACTGTAATAAGTTAATTGTAATATCTAATCCCGAATAAAGTTTGCTTGCGTTACCAGCGGGAAATGAAAGTCTGCAAACATGTCCCACTCTTTCATTAGTTCCTGTTCTGTAATGTGTTCTAAATATATTGCGATCTGTGTCCGCAGGCAGTACTGCAGCATCCCTTGGAAGTTCGGTTCTTCCTTCCAGTGAAAATAACGAAGAGCTCTCTCTGCAACTCTCGCTCCCTCACTTTTATTTGTTTTAGGGGACAAGTTTCCGTAAAACCCACGGAAAACGTGCTATTTTGTTTATTGAAATTAATTTTTGTATATATTTTTTAGTTCATTTTTGAAATTTGTAATGTGACTAGATTTCTTTTGACCCGGCATTTATACTCTTTTTTTTTTACAATATAATTTGTGAGGATATGTCGGTGCCTTTTTGCGGTCAAAAAATGCGGTTATAAAAATTAAAACGTTTCTGCGCTAATTTATATCGCTCGTAAAATAATTTGCATGCAGAGGTATTTTTAGTTTTTACACAATTTATCTATGAAGTGGATAAATTTTTATATATCCTTAATTCATCGATCATTTTTAAAAAAGAATGGCCTACGATCCTCGTCAATAAAACAATCCTATGCTTTCAATAGGTTTTCCAAATCTCTTGATGAAGCATTGTATGCATTGGATAAGCTATTTTCTCGTTTTCTTATCACGAATGAATTTGTACAAACAACTGCTAATATCTTAACATTATTATATTCTCTATTTTTAAGTTAAAACGGGTTTCGGACTTCGTTTTTCGAACATTCTCAATATTCTGTTTATTCAAATTAAACTTAACAAAATTTCTTAACAAAATAACATTTTTCGCAGCACATCTGTATTTACAACGATGGCAACAACAACAATAATAATGTTCTGGTCGTTGGTAATTACATAAAATTTGTATTTTATAGGTTTTATTTAAATTATCTAAAATCACCTAAATTAAGTGTACAGTGTTTCTTCTCCAATTAGCGTCTTCATTCATTTCAATTTCTCAACTCCTTTAACATATCCAGTTGGATTTTGCGTCTTTCTTATAGACATTTTTAAATATTATCCAACATCTCTTAACGTTGAGTTACCATAATCCCATCGTAATCCAAGAAAATGATTATACAACCAATTGTTTGTAGTCCTATATTTCAACATTAATTTTGAATATTGGAATGGTGGTTGAAATATCATATTTTTGATTTGCGAGTCATAGTCGAAATTTGCTTGCACTTTAGAAACCTAATACATCAATAATAATTAATTTATCTTGACACATTGTTACAAGGTAATGTTCTGTAAATAATCAAACATTGTTTTTATATCCTTTTTTTTAACGATGAGAGGGATTTTTTTAAAATTATTTTAAAAGTACGATGTTTACATTCATGTATATTACATATTATATTATAATAAAATTGTATAATTTTGTTTGCTTCTTTTTCTTCATTGTGTTTCTCTTATAGCATTATTACGGAAATCCCAAATCTAGTTCATTCCAATTAATTGATTTTCCCAAATAATAAATTTCCTAGAGAGGGAAAACCCAAGTGCACACTCGCCGGGCGTCATGCAGCTGCCGCCCGAGAAAAACGGGTAGCGGATTAAAAATGAAGCCATGAACTGAAGTAACAGTAATATGCTTGTAAAAATGTATATAAATAGACTACTTGCGCAAGGCAGATTCAGTCGGACAAGAACATTAGAAACGAAAAAGAGTATTAGAGCTGAAAAGTCGAGAGTATCGCCAAAGTAAAATCTATTATTATTATTATTGTTACAAATTTAGCCAGAGAATAAATTCTAAGACTAAATTCTTAAAGCATCTAAGGCTTTCGGCTTTATTAAAAACTCTACCGAACTTGAGGTTTGAACCCACGACCATTGAGTTGATAGTCGAGACTCTTGCCTACTCGCCACTTTGACGAGTAAAAGAGTAAAATGTAAATAACCCTACCCCTAAAGAAATTGATCGTAAATAAAAGAGCCTTGTAATAAAAACGTGCAAGTGTATTTCTCTTAGAAAAATCATGACCTAGCGTTACGAACCAGAAAAGAGTTTCATAACAGTATGTACAATGCCATGTGTCTGGTCCACATGCAGCATTCTCATCTGTCCCAGCGCAGCCCTCATAATGTTCACAGTACTTGTTTTTAATTATCTTGAAATTGTTTACATATTCCAGATGTGATTGAATACTGATGAGTTTCTTTCTATCTTCATCCGACACAATAGTGGAAAAAGTCTTTAAAAATCTGTATATTTTTTTGTTATCATATTTCCTGTGGTGTGTCTTATTGCATACTCATATGCAATGTTTGTAAACAACCTTTGATACCGATAGTCCTAGCATATGTGTCATTTTTGGATCGATCGACAAGTGGACTCACTTCATATCGATTTTCTCTTTTATTTCCCCCACCATCAACACCACCACAAGGTGTGAAGGTGAATCATTAAGTTCAAAACAATAGATATTAAATTTACGATACACGTAATTACTATAATAAAGTGTAATTTCACAATTTTCTTATTTTAAATTGAAGTGGTGGAATACCATTGCACTTTGAATAATACCTCCAATGTTTGTTTCTTTTCTATTAAATCCTTTTTAAAAGCTTCAATTACATCATTTATTGCAAATAGTTTATAATCACCATTTCTTGCTCGTCTATTATATATTTTTAAGATTCTTGTTGTTGTTGGCGATGGCATCGCAGTTGTTGTTGAAATTTTATCTGTCGAAGATTGCGTTCGCAACTGAAATGAGAAATATATCATTGTACGCATTGTATCGTTTGAAAGTTTTCTTTGAAAATTTAAATATTTACTTGTATCGCCGTGGAATTTGGCAATTCTGTTATCATAAAGTCGATTAGAATAAGAAACAGCGTAAAGAGGTTGTGCATTACGAATATTGATGAAAATTAAAATCACGTGTAGCGTTGAGCCGATTTTCATATTGATTTATCCTTTTTTTAAGTTTTCTTGAAAACGAATTATTACATCCTTAGAAAATATTCATTTTGTACTTTTGCATATAGTCTTTTAGATCAAGTATTTGAACGTCCTGTAACTTTCGCGATACGTCTGGTGAGTGACGCTTCTCAATTTCACCATTACTTAATATTCTCTCGTGTTAAAATTCGCGATATTCGATGCAAATTATTTTTAGTTGTCTTTTCATAGATACTTTCATAAGCACAACGAATTATTATTAGCATTTACATTTATATTAGCGTTTACATATTTGAGATTAAAATGTCTGTAAAATGGTTTCTCAGCTTCTACTATGCCACCTATATCCATTTCGGAATTGATTAACGGTTTACGAAATGCCTCTATAGCATCATCCATTGAAAAATATTTTAATGGTGTGTCTTCTGTTGTTTGTTGTTGTTGTTGTTGTTGTGGTGTTGGAGTTTCAGTAGGTGATGAAAAAGTTGTAATAATTGTTAACGTTGTAGCATTACCTTCATTTTTTAATAGATGATCATTATCTTTAGTTTCGAATGCTGCACTTACTTGCATCATAACAAATGTCATATTACTTTTCAGAAGATCATCGCTAGGTTGAGTTAAAAGTTTTTGAGTTCGAGCTGAGGAGTACTAATAGTGATCGGTGTAAGATTACTATTTTCAGTACAAGAAGAAAAAAATATATATTGATTTTTATTATAATAACCTGTTTTACAAACATGCGCTGTCTTTAAAGATATAATGATCAAAAGATATATAAAAATAGATGTAGTTTTATTTTTGTTAAATTACAATGAGCAAATTTGTTTTCGACGTTCCGAAATTCCATAAACCAGCTGCGCTCTATGGAAGTGTAGGTTAATAATACTTATCCCAAGTTCTGAGGCACATATTTAACGGTTGGTGAGTATTGATTTTTTAAACACTTCCAATTTGTAAGCATCAGCAAGTTTAACATATGACATCCTCCATGTAAAATTCATATTCTTAATTTAATTTCTTCACTTGCTAAAGTAGTTGTAAGAATTTGTTTATCATTTTTCGACCGTAGCAAAATCAATTCATGTTTGGAATTAAATATTATTTTATTAAAATCTTCAGCAAATCCAAGCAGTATCTTCAGTGATACACAAATACGACGTGTATGATAAAATTCTATAATTCAAAAGCCCATATCGATTTCATCAAATAGATGTGCCATACAATTATTTAGTAGTTTTACATGAATAAAGATTGTACCATTGCATTGCAGTTCCTTCAACATATAGATAGCTTTCGCTTGGTAAGACATCCAAATCTTGCTTTTAAATTGATATACGAATTTCATAATTATTTTTAAATGTTTCTAAATGTGATGTATTACTGTGATATTCTTTTTTTATAATTAAACGCAAATGGTGGGTTTTGTAATATATTAATTATAGTACTAATTTTTTTTTTTAATTGACACACCAAGCTAATTAAAAATTCCGGATTAATTCTAATTAGGGTATTAGTAGCTTTTTGTGGTTTTATTCGTCTAAATATTTTTTTATTGTTCTTATTGTTCTCACTGTACGATGATGATGATAATTTGGTCGTTGTGTATTCTGTTCAATCATAGAATACGTCTTTGTTGAATATTATCATCCTTATTGTGAGGTTCTAAATGCAATCTTATTGAAATTTTGTCTCCGAAATTTTTTTATATTACCGGATCGATCGACAACTTTCATAACTATAGAAATTATCGTTCTTTTATTTATAGGCAAATATATTACATAAGTTGGTATCTGTACAGTTTCACAACTTTGACAAACAGTAAGTAAGAACTGAAGAGTATGTGCTGCTACATTGCTTATATAAAATCCACCTATAATGTTACTTTCAATCATTAAAGTGTTAATTTTTATTATATCGGTTGTTTTAGCTGAATATTTTTCTATATCTTGTTGTGATTTTCTCTTACTAAAACTTAATAATGGTCCAATCGAACGCTTCTTATCGAAATAAATTGGGTCTATTGTACACTTTATGTGTGTTTATAATTTGCTTGAATATTGAGAGTCACTTTCTCATTCACATTACTTCCAAGTCGGCTCATGTTATTTACTTCCAAGTCGGCTATATCAGAGGACTCATATGAATCAATAGAAATCGTAAGTTCATGATTACAAATATGAAATAAGTTGTTTTGTAGATCATCGTTTGGAATTGAATGACATGTATCGAAATTTATTAGACCTCCAACAATAGTTTGCAATAAGTAACGAGGCGTCCCCGTTTAAGGTTAGTGTTACTGATACTTTAATGTCCGATGAGTGAATAAATTATCTAAGAATGTCTAGGTAAGGAAAGGTATCAACCTTTTATTGTTTATCTATGTAGTCCCATTGGTTGTCTACCCCTTTTGAAAGTGGTGTTTATATTTGCTTATTCGTACATAATCATTAATTGCAATCTTTGGTATTTTAAATATTTTTATATCGCAGAAGACGGTATCCAGTAGAGATTTCTTATTTGAACAATTCACTTGATTTGGTGTCATGAAGGGGGAGAACAAGAAGAAGAACATTCGGTAGCAAAAAGGTATTTCTAACAGCTGTTAAAAAAACTTCAAAGACCTTCAAAAATCGAAACCAATTAATATCACGGATGTTATGAAAACGCTCAAAATGCAACACATTCAATATTAAGGATGAAAACCAAGCGTAATGCCACTATACCGAGAGTTATCCCTATGCCAAATTTGTTGTATTCATTTCTTTAATTCCAATTTTAACAGTATTGCCAGCACTATTCATAAATAAATGAACTAGTGTCCATATAATTTTGATTAACATTTTCCTTATATTTAGGCTTCATTTAATCGTAATGAAAATTGTACATTTTTCATTTACGTAATTCTAAGACCGTAAATCCAATGTAAATTGTACTCAGCACGTACTTTATTCATTTCAATCAAAACCATTTGCTCTAAAATTTTGTGAGAACCAATTTGGTCGAGCTAAAGGAGCTATCGCCCCCAACTTTTTACTTCTATTCACCCATCACAGATTTTAATAACTTTTCTCTTATCTACATAATGTATTCTCATAGACTTGCCGTAGACGACATTATTTAACAATTTGAAAAAATTCTGATCAAAAGAGTTTTTAGCTAACATTCTGTGATAATTATTCAAATCGGTGTATTTTTTCAACCAATCTGATTGACTGAATGTCAGGATTCTGCATATATTTTTTAGAACAACACCATGTCGAATACATTGTTGAAGGTTCCGATAATGTATAACATAATGCGTTTTATCGTTTAAATCTGTTACTAATTTAATAGATTTCATGTGTTCATTTTTTATTTTCAGCACGAAGCGGTAGATGGATATTCTAAATCTGCTTCTTGCTTATGTCTCTTGAAAGCATCCACACAGTGAAAATAGATTAAGGACACGTTACACATATGCACTGCCCTACAATGTTTCGTCTATTGTGTTTTGGGCAATCTATAATTACACATCTACTCTCACATAAAAATAAACATTAGAAAACATATTATTATTATTATTATTTAAAATTAGTTTTATATATTAGTTTACCTACCTTGGCATGTCTTTAATCCAAGCATAATGAAATTTTCCATTCTCTCCCACCAGCAACAGGTTAATGTAATTTCGTTTTTTTTCTTGGGTAAAATAAAGTAGACCCACAATAAGATCATCCTGACGTTGAATTTATCGCCATTCGTGCGATAATGCCTAGTAAACAGCTATTTGTAACCTGCTCCTATATTCCCCAAAATTCTGATATCTCCATTTACAAGAAACACGCTGCCCTCATTTGTGAAGTGGCCAAGCGGCCTAGACTTAACGATTTGGCCGTTGCATTGGGTGACTTCAACTTGCCTCAAGTCACTTGATGTAACAGTGATGATTCTGGCTGCTTGATTCCTACTTCAACGTCTGATAGGGCTGTTGTGTTCCTTAATGAATTGTTTGATCACAATTTGGTTCAATATAATCGTATCCCTATTTGTAATTGTAGACTGCTTGAACTCTGCTTTGCTAACTTTCCTGAGATTAACGTAAATCGTTGCCCACCTTTTAGTTTACCTGAGCACGCTTATCATCCATCCATGTGCATTTCCTTTCATCATAAGAATTATGGTTCGTTGAACTGCCTTAATGTGCCAAATCAAACTTTTTTAAATAAATGTTATGATTTTCATAAAATCAATATTGTATTGCCAAAACATCGTCTTTCACACATAAGGCTTGATTTCTCAACCGGAAGTATTGAAAGATTATTGTCATCGTTCTACAATACATTAAATCTAGCTATTGCTGTACCCGCGCCGATCAAGCAGTGCCAACTTCGAAGCAGGTGTCTCCCCTGGTATAATAGAACAACTCAATATTACAAGAACAGACAAAACACGCTATTCAAAATATATTCGAAAAGTGGCTCTGCTCTTGACTATTTCGCTTACTCCGTGGCAAGGCATAGATTTAACTCCTTCAACCACCATTATTATTGTAGATACCTTCATTTCATTAAATCCTTTCTGTTCGCTAATCCCAAATACTTTTTTAAATTTGTTAACTCAAAAAGAAAAATTTCCACATATCCCTCTCATGTTTCTTTTAATAGCTCTGATTCCTCGGATGATTTTGAAATTTCAAATCTGATTGCTGAGTATATCCGACGAAACTTTTCGATTGTTAATTTCGATTTATCAGCAAACTACCCATATCCTATAACTAACTCGGTTTCAATTCCTAACTTGGTTATTTCGCAAGATGAGGTTTTTAATGGGTTGAGTTCTCTAAAATACAATTGCGCGCTTGGACCTGATCGAATTCCATCATGTGTACTTAAATCTTGCGCTGTCGAGTTATGTGGTGTGATATCAAAGATTTTTAACCTGTCCTTGAATTTAGGTGTTTTCCCTTCGTGTTGGAAGAGTAGCTTCCTTATTCCTATCCACAAAAGTGGAAGTAGACAACTTGTTGAGAACTAAAGTGGCATAGCCTAGTTGAGTGTCTTGCCCAAGTTGTTCGAGCGAATTGTGACTCAGCATTTGGCCTTTGCCATTAATTCGTATATTTCTCCGCACCAGCACGGCTTTCGGAAAGGGCGATCTACAGTCACCAACTTGTTAGAGTTTACTTATCATGTTTCCAAGGCTTTTTCTGGTGGCTCTCGCACAGATGTTATATACAGATTTAAGGAAAGTGTTTGATATGGTTAACCATAACTTACTTATCTTTAAACTCCAAGCCTCTGGCTTCCCTTTCTATATAGTGAAATGGATAAGCTCTTATCTGCACAATAGATCCTTCAGGGTTTTGTTTAACTTCATCACCTCAGATGAATTCCTCGTTATGTCTGGCGTACCTCAAGGAAGTCATTAAGTCTCAGTTTATTTAGTTTATACATTAACGATCTTCCATCGGTGGTTAATTTCAGCCAGATCTTAATTTATGCTGATGATGTGAAACTGTTTTCTTCCTTCCCTGTTGAATCGCAATCACATCAGCTTCAAAGTGACTTGGATAATTTTGTTGTATGGTGCTCTTTGAATTTTCTGAAACTAAATCTGAGTAAATGTAAGAAGCTTTCTTTCTCAATAAGAAAGTCATTCATCACTCAGTATTTCATAGATTCGCAAAAGTTGGAAGACGTCGATTCGATCACAGATTTACGCGTTCTATTTGACCAAAGGTTAAGTTTTAACTTGCATATTGAGCTCTCGATAAGCAAAGCTAGGTCCGCGCTTGGTTTTATAAAAAGGTGGTCCAAAGAGCTTGATGATCCCTACATTTCGAAAAGGCTGTACATGTGTTTGATTAGACCCATACTCGAGTATGCCTCCGTTGTGTGATCTCCTTCATATAGGTGCTATATAGATTCAATTGAATCTGTTCAAAAACAATTCTTGCTGCTTGCCCTTAGAAATTTGGATTAAAATCCGATTGCCTCTCTTCCTCCCTATGAAAATAGTTTGCTTCTCTTATCCTTACCGTCTCTTGAGAAACGTAGTTGTGTTTCCTTTGTAATCAAAGTAATGGTGCTATTGACTCACCTTCATTACTTGGTGAAATAAGCTTTAATGTCCCTAACCGCTTCTCCAGGCACTTTATCTTGGTTAAGCTTAGTCAGTGTAAGTTTAATTATGAGCTGTTCAATCCGCTCAGAGTCGTTTGCAAAAACCTAAATGACGTCTACCACTCATTCTCGTTATCGGACTCTTTAAAGTCCATTAAAGCAACATTGCTTAATACGCGCGATTTACCTATGTCGTATTTAAATTAGCTTTTTTCCTTAAAAGTCGTTTCGATTGGAAAATGAATTGTTGTTAAGTATTTTCGGTTGCCAGGCTTATGCATGTTTGCAATGGCTTAGGGGTTCATTTGC